AAGAGCCCGCCGGGGTACTGGGGGGGGGCGGAGCACCGGATACTGAACGCAGAGCCCAAAAGCACCTGGGCCCCCGGGGGCCCCTGCTCACTGGCCCCGGAGACCCCGTCCAGGAGGGTGATGGTGGGCGGAGTCAGCAGATCTGCAGCAGAAAGTGGAAAAAATGGCTCCAAATGGGATGTTAGATATATTTTAAACATGAAAACATGTTAAATAATTCCAAATGGTCAGTCTGTTTACTTTGATAGCTTTTCTCTCTGGTTTAGCTGCTTCCATTGGTGTATTTTTATAGAAAAGTGTTCAACCAATCAGATTGAAGCTACTTTTTGTTGCCAGGGTCAAATAAATCTGCCTGGAATCCTTCGCAATAACTGTAGCATAAATATGTATCAAATAAACTGCCCAACCAATCAGATTTCAGCTATTATTCTATAAATCTTCCTGGAATCCTTCACAATAACTGTAGCATAAATGTATACCAATTAAACCATCCAACCAATGAGATTTCAGCATTTTTTTTGTTGCCAGGGTTGAACAAATCTGCCTGGAAGCCCTTACAATAACTATAATATAAATATGTATCGATTAAACTGTCAAACCAATCAGATTTCAGCTATTATTCTATAAATCTGCCTGGAAGCCTTAACAATATCTGTATCATAAATATGTATCAATTAAACTGTCCAACCAATCAGATTTCAGATATAATTTTTTGCTAGGGTCAGATAAATCTGCCTGGAAGCCTTCACAATAACTGTAGCATAAATGTATACCAATTAAACCATCCAACCAATGAGATTTCTGCTATTATTGGTTGCTAGGGTCAGAAATATCTGCCTGGAAGCCTTCACAATAACTATAGCAAAAATATGTATCAATTAAACTGTCCAACCAATCAGATTTCAGCTATTATTGGTTGCTAGGGTCAAATAAGCCTTAACAAGCCAAATCTGGAAGCCTTAACAATAACTGTAGCATAAATATGTATCAATTAAACTGTCCAACCAATCAGATTTCAGCTATTTTTTGTTGCCAGGGCAGATAGATCTGCCTGGAAGCCTTCACAATAACTGTAACTGTAGCATAAATATGTATGAACCAATCAGATTTTGAGCTGGCATCAGCAGGGCCCTTTGGCGGGTGACATCATCGGATCCCCAGCTTCTGATTGGACAAACAGAGGGCATCTGTGGGGATGTGTCTACCTGAGCAGGTGACCTCCAGGCTGTACTCGCTCTCGTCGTTATCGGTGACGGTCAGGCACTCCCTCAGGCCGGCGTCCGGCCGCACGCACCCCCCCTTCACCCACCACACCGGCCTCACGTCGGCGTCGTCCGTCACGACCGTTACCACGGCAACGCCGCAGCCCAGCCTCCCGCACACGGTGGCGGTCCAGCTCTGGTCCCACACAAAGTCCAGGTCGGCCACCGGCCGCCACTGTCCCCGGTTCTCCATCTCCAACACGCCCTGGCAGCGGCTGGTCCCGCCCCCCAGCCGGAGACCATCTGATTGGAGCAGAGACAGGAAGTCAGTGAGATCCAGAAACACTGCCCATATATGGTCATTTCCTGTAACAAAGCTGAGGAAAAGTCCATTTTTTTCCTAAAATGATGCGAAGATTTAGGGTTTTACAGCTTCAAATTCCATAGATAGATGGATGGATGGATGGATATAGATAAATATATAGATAGATGGATAGGTTTTTTTGTGGTTATCTTTTAATTGACAGAAATAGAGCCAAAGTTTAGAGCATCCCTTGATTTTCAGCTTTCTGTGGTGATATTTAAACAAGAGAGATTTCACAAAAACGATGGCCGCCAACTATTTCTGAGAGGATTCAGCTCTTCTTTGATATGCTACATGACCACTTTCCATTGGAAAAAAAACTCACCCAGGATCCAATATGGCGGCTTTCAAGATGGCGGCCATTTTGAAAGACAGGCCCCCTCTGCCTTTAATGTTTGGGTGTTTGAATATGTAATTTTCTCTTTAGTTTCTGACAGAAAACTGTCCTGTGACTTCTATATATATATATGTATTATATATATGTTTTTATATATATATATATATATATATATATATATATGCACAGATGTATCTGAAGTATTTGTAAGAATCCAGGTTGTTGAAATTGAGAAGCTGTCGAATACTTCAATGTTAAAAAGTCATTCATTAATGTGATTTTTCTACAGTTTGAAATGTCTCAATAATAAAAATGGATTTTTGTAAATAACACAAATGACTTTAGGGGTGAAACTGGACTCTGGATCTCTACCTGAGCAGGTGAGTGCTGCAGCCTCTCCCGCCGGGCAGATGCTCCTCTCCAGGGCTGACCTCCTACAATCCCGGAGGCCGGACTCTTGCCCCTCACAGTGGGACTCTGTGGCCCCCATGGGGGCCCCCACCTCCCCATAAGGCGCCCCCTCCAGGGCCAGAGGAGGAGCACAGCCGACCTCCCTGCAGACCACCTCTGCGTCCCGCTGGTCGAAGTCCTTCGCACACACAGAGGACCAGGACTGCTCTGACCTCACCTCCAGCCGGCCTGAGCACCGGTCGGCCCCGTTCACCAGCCTGACCGAGTCTGCAGACACAAAAAAAACACCAAACATGGTTAAAACTGGTCTGATCTGTTTTCAAACTGGTCTGAACTTGTTATAACTGGTCTGAGATGGTTAACATTCG